TTAAAAAAGCTTAAACAAACTTAAACAAACTTAAACAAACTTAAACAAACTTAAACAAACTTAAACAAACTTAAACAAACTTAAACAAACTTAAGCAAAGAAAGAAAGAAAGAAAGAAAGAAAGAAAGAAAGAAAGAAAGAAAGAAAGAAAGAAAGAAATAAAGAAGCAAGCAACCAAGCAACAAAGAAACAATCGAACAAAGAAGCAAAGAAACAAAGAAACAAAGACACAAATAAGCAAATAAGCAAAGAGACAAACATGATAAAGAAACAAAGAAACCACTAGGCGACTAAACGACTAAACACAGAAGCAATGGAAAAAGCAAACAAATAAACAAATAATCAGCGAAACAAAGAGACAAAGAAGCAAATAAACTACAAAGCGACTAAACGACCAAACGCAGAAACACAGAAACAAAGAAATAACGAAGCAAAACCACTAAGCGACTCAACAACTACACAAATCAAAGAATCAAAGAAGCAAAGAAACACAAAAACCACTAAGCTAAAGAAACAAAGAAACAAAGACACACAGAAATAACGAAACGACGAAACCCCGAAGCACAGAAGGAGACAAGAAGACAAGGAGACAAGGAAACAAGGCAACAAGGAAACAACAAAACAAAGATACAAGCAACCAATTAAACAAAGAAACAGAGAAAACAAAGAAACATAGACACACAGAAGCCAAGTATCAAAGAAGCAAACAAACAAACACAGAAGCACAACAACAAAAAGCAACACAGAAACACAGAAAGTTCGAAACAAATAATCCAAGAAACACAGAACCAAATAGACAAGTAAACACACCCACTAAGCGAGAAACCGACTGAACACAGTAACAAAGAAACAAAGAAGCAAAGGCAGAGTAAGAACGAAACAAAGAAACAAAGTAGCAACACAACCAAGAAAGCAAAGAAACACGGAAACAAGGACACAAAGACACAAAGAAGCACAGAAACACAGAAAAGAACCCAAGAAACACCGACACATGAAACAACTGAAACAAGGAGACAGGGAGACAAGGAACCCAGGAGACAAGGAAACAAGGAAACAAGGAAAGAAGGAAACGAGGAAGCACCGAAACACCGAATCACCGAAACACCGACACAACGACAGACACACACACAAACACCTGTCCGGAGCCAATTAGTTTGGGGGGGTGACTCGAGCGGCCCACCCAAGTTCTGCTTTTGTACCAGGAGGGGTTCGCCAAGTTTGTCAGGGGGTTGGGTTAAGAGGTCGTTTTGCTGAGCTGACCATTGGGAGAAGCCGCGAAGATGATATTTCCCCTGGTAGCAGTTTTGGTTACCCACCGATTTCCTGGTGCCCACTAAATTGAAACAGTTATTACCCAGAATGATTGGGGCCGGGATTATGGATCACATGTCCTGTTCGGAAGCACCAAATATTGTCCGTGGCTCATGTGAGCCCTGACACACTTGCGCAAAGCCGAGGCTGTTTGAGTCCATCACCTGCTGGAGTCTCATGGGGCGCTGTTCTCAGATCAAGACGGGATGTGTTTGTCTTGGGTTTACCGGCCTGGGGGTAAACCCTTGTGTGTTGGATGTGTGTTTTCTTTGTCTTCGAGCACAGGTTTGTGCCGCTCTTTGATATCAGCAGCTTGTGCAGGCTGGGCTTGAACAGAAAGCTTTCGCAGATGACTTCTCTTGCGAAGGGTGGTGGCTGTGATTTTCTACATCTTCGCGGCAAGTGCCTCAGGCTTTCAGGCAGTGGCAAGCTACGTCTGTAGACCTAGCCTTGCTCCGGTTGATTTCCGGCTGGTAAGAATCAAGGCTATGTGCATATGACGTAAGAGTTGCTTGGTGTTCCGCAGGGCTTGGTCAAGCAGAGAGGTGCAACCAACAGCGGAAGCAGATGATTCAGCTAGATTGCTCAGAACTGGGGCCTGCTGGCTGTCATGACGGGCGTGGTGAGCGAGAAGATGATGGCAACCAAGGACACCTGCCATCATGCCATGGATGTGACTCATCCCACAAGCCCCATATCTAGTGGAGGATGGTTCAAGCGTTGCAATGCCCTGCACCGGGTTGTAAATAGCCCATGTTCCGCCTGCGGCGTGGCGAATCCCACGACCAATCGCCCGAGCCCGCAATGAGCTCGCACGGCTGCAGGAGCGCCTCACAGCGTTCACCTCTCAGTGGGTCCGGCAACCAACCCAAGCTGAGCAATGACACAGGTCTCGTTTTTGGGGCAACACCTCCCACCCCTTTCAATCAGAGTCTGTGCCGTGCCAGTCTTGTGTCTTCCTTGCGAGCGGCGTGCACTTTTTTGGCCTTCTGAGGGAGACGGATGACGGCCCCAAGCACGAGCCTGGCAGTCAACATCTGGCTCATTTGGAGATGGTGCCTGCCCCTTTCCGATTCGATGCGCAATGGTTCTCATGCCTTGAGACGGGATTGCAATCCACTGGTAGCCTTGCATTTCCATTGTTCTTGGCACATGAAAGTGTTTCAGCTGCCGATGATGTTTGGGTTCTGTCACATTCAGTACTTTTGGCACGTGCTTCAGCCCGAACTCAGCGATTCTTCGTTTCCTGCAAGCAATGCAGGAATGATGCGCCATTTTTGTTAGCCGTTGAATTGCCGTGGGGAATGATCGGGGAAATGCGCCATTTTTTTTGCCCTTCAATCGCCGTGGGGAATGATGGTTCAATTGCCGTGGGGAATGATTGGGGTAATGCGCCATTTTTTTGCCCTTCAGGAATGATGGGGGTACTGCGCCATTTTTGTTCGCCGTTCAATTGCCGTGGGTGAGGCTCACGTTTCCTGTTCACAAAGCAATTCAGGAAGGATGGGGTGAATTTTCCATGTTTCCCGCCGTGAACATTGGCCGGTGGGTGAGGCTCAAGCGCCCCTTTTGGCCCATGATTCTCAATGACTTCCTCCGATTGGCCAGCCGATGGCGGGACCTGCTGAGCTGGAAAGAGATGGAGCCTGATGCGCCGTTGCCTCAGTTGAGACGTGTGGCACTCGGCGTTCGTGGGGGCTGAGGGGAGGGGAGGGAGGGGCGGTAGGGAGGGGGGGGGGAGGGGGGGAGGGCGGGGGGGGTGCCCAAATCAGACCAAGCCCTGAACTGGGCCTTATTGCCGGCGTATTTGGGCCTCTGCCCTCCCCTCCCTACCCCCCATAATACCTGCGCAACGCGAAACGCGAAACTCGATTTAGCGAGCTCCAAGGCCACTTCAACGCCTGGGCGAGCTGGACGGCTGGTTTGGTGCCATTTGTGTTTGTGTGATCATACTGTGGATGGTTGCGAAGTCCAGAAATCGCACCACCGTTCAGAAGCCCTCGTTTCTGATTCGATTCCCCGGTAAATGCCAACAAAAGAATGGTTTCAACCATGGTTTCAAAGTGGTGCAGAGGGGGGTTTTGTCCATCCGGTGCTGTCCACAGTTGCTGTTGGGTGAAGTGTTTGGCTACGAGTTGTGCACAGGACGCTGTTGTCTAGGTCCCCCAGTAGTGCCCTTTTACCTTTTTTTTGGGGAGGGTTCCCCCACTACAATAGACTGACTACAGAAAAAAAGGTACCCTTATTCGAACCTCTCTACTGGAGAACCCAGTTGTGTGGGTGTTGCAACGTGCCGCTGCAGAGAGCTGTTGCCATTGGAGAGTGCGACTGAGAATTGCGGGGTGCCGTCGTCTGTCGAAGCGTGTGCTGGTGCGCAAAAATCTTCTTTCGGAGGTGGCCGTTGAGCAGGGTTCTGTTGCACGGCGTTTTGCGTACTGTCGCAGCGTTCTGTTGCGGGATGCTGCCGAACATGGTGTGACTCTGCGTTTGTGCTGAGTGCTGTTCCAGGCTGCTGTTGCATGCACGCTGTTGCAAGAGACTGAGAACTGCGCAGGGTGCTGCTCGAGCGCGCTGCGCAATGTGACTAGGAATGTTGGCAGGGTGTTGCTGACCAGTGTCATATGGAGTGTGTGACCAAGACTCCGGGTGATTTCGTTGTTTTTACTTGGTGCTATGGAAGCGAGCGCCGGATTTCCATGGTACACTTGTCTTGCTCCAGCAATCATGGAAGCTGACAGCAGGCCTCCAAAAGTGATGAATCCCCACCAAAAGCGGACACTCTATTAATCCACCAGGGGTTTATTAATCGGGGGACGCAACCCGCCGATGCCAGTGGGGTGTTGGGGATTTCAAGACAGTCAGGAAACATGTCCCAGATGCTGGGGATGCTGGAAATGCAAGGGATGCAACCACATAATGTGCAGGAACAGACCCAATCTTCGCATCCAACATGTCAAGACTTTCAGACACACACAATTGACCAATCGCAGAAAATGCCAGAGATGTCGGGAATGCTGGGAATGCAGCCGGCAGGCCACAAAAAAGTACAAAAACAACATTTTTTTGTTTTTTTGAAATGTACCAAAATCAACTATCAAAAACAGATACTAGCAATCCCCCTCAAATACCCTGAGCATAGACTTCCAAAAACACGATAATGCAGGGGATGTTTCGCAGTAATTGCTTGGTACAGTGCGGAATTGCAAAAACGTTTTTTTTTTTTTTGGCAAATTTCAACAGCTCCCCAAAGTATCACTGCACTTGTCCCCACCCAGACCCCTAACAGGCCAATTCCAACATCGCTTGAAACAGCAAAACACCATTAGTATCTGCAAAAAAGACAAATTCAGCAGCAAGACAATCCTGATTATGCTGGGGATGCAGATCCTGCGCGTCCGAGGGAACCTAGAGACCTAGGCGAAACGCAGATTTTGAGCACGCAAGCCCCAAACAAAAAGGGAAACAAACAGGGTTTTGGACACTGAGCACAACATGCCAAAAAAATGGCAGCCCCAAAAGCCTTCGGCTTTGATAAGAGATCCGAAGGAAGACTAAAATTGAGGACTGCCATTTCCCACGCTCGACCATCAGCGAATCCACCAGGGGTAAATAAAAAGCGGGGGTGAGGAACCATTTACCACAAAAACCGGCTGCGTTTTCGCGTCGAAGCCCAGGTCTTTCAAAGAACAACAACGCCATTCTTGTTTTGGTGTCTTCTTTCACCCCAGCGCCAAAGTTGGTTGCCCTCCGGCTTGTTGTTTTTTTGGGTAGATGCATGGCTCACGGCCCACGCCCCACGCCCCATTTGTGCCCCGAAAGAATCGGCCTCGGCCGCGACGCCGCGGCAGGAGCCCTGCCTCTTCTTGGTGGTCTTCAGCTTCCTGGACGGCGCCAGCTGCGCGCGCTGCGGCGCCCTCTTCGCGAATGCCCGGAGCATGGCCCTGGAGGCCTCCAAGGCGAGCGGGTGGAGCGCTCCCGGTGCCCGGGGGGGGCACCCCGGGGGTGTGGGTTGGGGGGGGGGAAGGTCCAAAGGTCCGGAGGGAAAAGGGTGGGGTTCTCTTGGCACAGGTGCAGTTTTTTTCCCGTTTTTCGGGCGTTTTTTGTTCTTCTTCAGATGGGCTTAAGGTGTGCCAAGCTTGGCGAGAAGGTGGAAAGATACAGCAGGGCTTGGGCTACACCGGAGATCAAGGGGTAGAGTCGACGCAATCACTTCCTGGATGAGATACACAGTCCTTTTTGCACATCTACAAATACGTACTTCATTGTTTGGGCACTCAATGCAGGTGCATACTTGCAAACAAGTGATACAGAAACTGTTTGGCTGATATTAGTATCGTGATGCAATTGTTTGCTTGGTAAACATCTATTGATCGGCCCAATTGGCTTGAAAAGTGAACCACCTTGTGATTGACAAGCTTCCAGATCCTTTCTGTTCTGCGCAAGCGCCATCTATTTGAAAGGGTTTCTCCACAACGCTTGAGTTACGCCTGGGCTCCAAAATGGCTGTGTGTTCACTGGGGGTACGGGATTTCAACCCATGGCCAAATGGCAGGCCCCGGGAAATCGACAAACCTGAGCTTTGCACGACTCGCCAGGAGAACGCCAAGTTCCGGCTCGAAGGGGGCGGCGTGCTGCTTTCTCGCTGGCTGAGCAGCAACTACGCGGCCTGTCAGGTCTTCCAGCAGCAGCTGGATCTGGAGATCGCCTCGCAGCATTTCGCCACCATCGCAGGCGCATGGAAAAAATAATTTGCCTCCGGTAACATGCACTGAGCGAAGAGGACTCACTGGTCCTTAATGGTACTTAGTTACCCAAGTATGAGTTGAATGGGAGTTGTAATCGTATTCCGGGAATGCGCGAGGGTTTGCCGGGGTACAATGGAGTTGGGCAGCTCAAGCCTGGATGGACGCAATTCCGTTCGCGCCACGAAATGAAACCATGAAGTTGAATCCATAATATTTGTTGATATGTACACGACTCGTTCAATGGTTTCTGAACAATGGTGCGATTTCCGGACTTTATCCATCCACAGCAACCATCCGCATCCCTGGCACTCAGTGGCCAGGCAGATACTCGCTCCCCGAGCCGCGCAGGATGCACTGGCTGATTTTTTTTTTGATTGTTTGGGTGGACTTTGGGTTGCCTTTGGATCGTTTTGCCAGAACCAGCTTACTTGTGAAGCTGAGAGAGATCCGAACTGCCAAGAGGTGCGCAGTTGAGGTATGATTGTACATTGGATATACAACCTACTGGATCTTTCCGCAACTACGGGTCCCAGCATGAGATGGTCGGCCAAGCCACTATTGCGGGAGTCTTGTGCCTTGGGCCGCATTTGAGATTGCATGGGACCACGCTTAGACTTGGGCAAAAAGCGCACACCGCCCAAAATTCATCCCAAGACAATGGATCAATTGCGGGAACCTGGTTGAAACGTGTTTAAAACGCCTTTGCCTGGAAATGGATGAGTTGCATTCTTCTTTGACACGTTCCTCTTCATCATGCACCTTTCCTTCCTTCTTCTGGCGCGAGAGAAGGAAATGATAAATGGAATGTCCCCAAGAAAACCATTTAACTGGTGGCTTCTTTTAGGGGACCCAAGCCTGGGTCCATTCTCACATGCCCTACCCATCGCACCCGCAAGTCTTGGGGTTTCTGGATCGCCCTCGCTTCAGGCGGCCGAGTGATGTGCCGCAATCCTCGCTGGCAGATGTGCCACAGGGAATGCACGTCCGTTGCTCGGCACCGACCATGCCCGTGGACTGAAACCCCGAAATGGCAACACTGGAAGTCAGCAACGCCTCACAGCGCTCGCTCCTACTTGTCGCTTCCGTGGTTTTCTTTTTTTGAATCTTTCCTAATCAGGTTCATGTTGCATCCTGTGCTTTTGGCATGTTGCATGTTTTGGATTGGTGCACTTGGACTCTCAGGTTACATCTGCTTACTGGACAGGTGGTATTCGCGCACCGTCATGGACGGCAGGGTGATGACACCGGAGGATTTGGAGTTCTGCGGGCCAGGCTACCAGACCTACTCTGTACATGCATGGCTGGAGCCTCTGGAAGGCGACGAAACCATGTGCGGTTTTTCCCCAAAGCATCGCGAAGGGTTCTTTGGAAAAAACGGTTGCCGACTACACAGCTGACTTACTCAAACTGACTTACGCAGCCTGACTTACACAGCCTGACTTACACAGCCTGACTGACGCAGCCTGACTTACACAGCCTGACTTGCACAGCCTGACTGACGCAGCCTGACTTGCACAGCCTGACTGACGCAGCCTGACTGACGCAGCCTGACTTACGCAGCCTGACTTACGCAGCCTGACTGACGCAGCCTGACTTACGCAGCCTGACTGACGCAGCCTGACTTACGCAGCCTGACTTACGCAGCCTGACTGACGCAGCCTGACTTACACAGCCTGACTTACGCAGCGTAGCTTACGCAGCCTGACTTACGCAGCCTAGCTTACGCAGCCTGACTTACACTGCCTAGCTTACGCAGCTTTACTGACCCAGCCGAAGCTCGCAGCCTTTAAATTCTATCTTCTTTCTTGGCCGGGAGTGGGTCTGGCGGGCGCTGGGAGGATGAACCTTCTGCGGGGATTGTGCGTGTCGGAGCGCTCTCGCTGTGGCGCCGTGCGAATCTCAAAGCTTGCGGGCGAACCCTCTGCGGAGATCGTGCGTGTCGGATCGCTCTCGCTGTGGCGCCGTGCGAATTATTTACGTGGCCGACGAACCCTCTGCGGAGATTGTGCGTGTCGGATCGCTCTCGCTGTGGCGCCGTGCGAATTTTTACGTGGCCGACGAACCCTCTGCGGAGATTGTGCGTGTCGAATCGCTCTCGCTGTGGCGCCGTGCGAATTTCAAAGCTCGCCGACGAACCCTCTGCGGAGATTGTGCGTGTCGGAGCGCTCTCGCTGTGGACAAAATTTATGTACAAAAGTAGTACGCGAAGCACGCTCCCGCAGCTCCGGCCTGAGAATCGTAAGTTTTAAGTAGAAAAGTAATACGCGAAGTACACTCCCGCAACTCCGGCTTGCAAAAAAGGGAGAGAAAGAGACAGAAGGAGAAAGAGAAAGGGAAGGAGAGAAAGAGACAGAAGGAGAAAGAGAAAGGGAAGGAGACAAACCGAAAGAAAATGAGAAAGAGAAAGAGAGACAGAGAGAGAGAGAGAGAGAGAGAGAGAGAGAGACAGAGAGAAAGAGAAAGAGAAAGAGAAAGAGAAAGATAAAGAGAAAGAGAAAGAGAAAGAGAAAGAGAAAGATAAAGAGAAAAGAGAAAGAGAAAGAGAAAGAGAAAGAGAAAGAGACAGAGAGAGAGAGAGAGGGAGAGAGAAAGAGAGCGAGAGAGAGAAAGAGAGAGAGAAAGAGAGAGAGAAAGAGAAAGTGAACGTGAAAGAGAAAGAGACAAACCGAAAGGAAAAGAGAAAGAGAAAGAGAAAGAGAGAGAGAGAGAGAGAGAGCGAGAGAAGGAGAGAACAAGAGAAAGAGAAAGAATGAGAGAGAGAGAGAGAAAGAGAAAGAGAAAGAGAAAGAGAAAGAGAAAGAGAAGAGAAAGAGAAAGAGAAAGAGAAAGAGAAAGAGAAAGAGAAAGAGAAAGAGAAAGAGAAAGAGAGGGAGAGAGAGAGGGAGAGAGCGAGAGAAGGAAAGAGCAAGAGAAAGATAAAGAAAGATAAAGAGAAAGAAAAAGAGAGAGAGAAAGAGAAAGAGAAAGAGAAAGAGAAAGAGAAAGAGAAAGAGAAAGAGAAAGAGAAAGAGAAAGAGAAAGAGAGAGAGAGAGAGAGAGAGGGAGAGAGACAGAGAGAGAGGGAGAGAGAGAAAGAGAGAGAGGGAAAGAGAGAGAGAGAGAGAGGGAGAGAGCGAGAGCAGGAGAGAGAGAGAGAGAGAGCGAGAGAAAGAGAGAAAGAGAGAAAGAGAGAAAGAGAGAGAGAGAGAGAGAGAGAGCGAGAGAAAGAGAAAGAAAGAGAGAAAAAGAGAGAGAAAGAGAAAGAGAAAGATAAAGATAAAGGTAAAGAGGGGGAGAGAGGGAGAGAGAGAGAAACAGTTAACATGAATAATATCATAGATATATTATAATATTATTGTATCATTTTCCTCATATTCGCTTTCGGGAAAATCGGTGTCTAGTTTAATTATACCCGACTCTTCGGTTGGTGGTCTTGAAGGAAAATTAAAAGGAACACATTTCGGCTTTTTGGGGGGTTTTATTGAATTTGAGACACATGCAGGCAGGTCCAAGGATCAGAATCCTGCACCTTCAACTCTGTTGTAAGACGTGAAGAGGGTTCCATTTTCTGCTTCCAAGGTAGACTTATACCCAGGGGTGTCATTTGGGGAAATCAACCCTGTCTGGGCTTAAATCTACCCATGCGAATGAATCTTCCTGCAAGCTTGTAACCTTGAGAATGGTAGGAATGCTGTTGACTGCTGCCCTTGCGATAGGAAGAAGGTGTGGCACGAAATTGTTATGACTTTTAACTATGGCCCCTGTGATGGACATCATTTAAATGGGGATTTATGTCCACCAACCACTTTTGGGGGGTTCCCCATTAAACAAATGTAGCCACATGCAAACGTTTCAGACTTTACATGGAGATGAGAGATGGATTGAACCCATCTAGGCGCCTACAGGCATAAGGCTCGCGAATTCGCGTTGTTCGCTCAGTTTGCCATGGCGCTTGAGATTTGCAAAGAGGCCATGTTTACCCAGCGACTGGGGCGCGATTGGTTCGGTTTTCGCCAGGAAGCCCCTTCACAGACGGCGCTTTCATGGAGAACCGGCCTAGGCCCACTGCGCGCGACGGGTGGATGCTGGAGGACAACCCTTTGAGACATCCCTGGCATCGCTCGCTTTCCTGGCGCGAGCTTTCGAAGTTGCTCAGCCACGCCAAAGTGTGTGAAGCTACAGCTCAAAGACTTTGCAGTTGAGGTGTTGCGCCTTTCTCACCTCGCAATCCGCCCACAATTGTTTTCTTTCTTTTTCTTTCTTTTGGGGCACCGGAAGAGCTTGGACCCGCGCCCTCCGATGTATTTTTTGTTGGAGGGACTGAGACGAGCGCAGCAAGATTTCAATTGCAGCGTAGGCAGCTGGTGCGGCAAATTGCAGCGCTGAGGCTGAGTTTGGAGCCACAAAACGTGCGTGAGATCATTGGTCAACCGGCAGTGCAGCTTTCGCATCCATGGGCTGATCTCAAGGTCCAGGCTCCTTCACCGATCAGGACAGCTCCTTCACCAGCCCACACTTTTGCAGCTGGGTATTTGATGTTTGTCCCTTGTCCTTGAGATGGCCGTGGGTCCACACCAATGGGATCCCATTTTGGTTGGTAGGTGAATTCACCACCCATTTTAGAACCTATTTTAGTGGATTGGTTGATGTTCACAGGGGGCTAACCGATTTGGGTTTGACCCATGGCCAGACGTTTGCGGGGAGCGGCCGTGGGTCCGAAGTGGAGTTGGATGACCCGCGCAGATGTTGGTGGACTTCTTCAGGCGAGCTGGGGCCTCAATGATGCAACGAAGCCGAAGCCGCAGAATGGAACAGGAAGGGTCAGGATTGAGCGATCCATTTTGAGGCGAAGGTCCGAGACATTCTCGTCCAGCGGCCATTTGCATCCCCCTGGGATGGGATACCTCTTAGGCAGCCAGAAAGTCAGTCTGTTACATGCTTCGGCAAGAGAAGCAGCATGTTGCCAGCCGTTGCTCGCTTCTGCCGAGCGAATGGTGAGCAAGACTAGGCGGCGGCTCACCTTCTGGAGCCCCAAAAGGTGACGTCAGTCTATTTGGTTGGGACGTTGCGACCATGGCCATACCCTTCTCGAGCTCTGTTGTGGTTCAACTTGCAGAACAGGATTTGTTGCACAAGTACGTTCGCATCTTTTGAACAACAACTGCCTTTTTCATCAGCCCCATGTGAGCTGTCAAAAGTCCAAGGATGCTGGCTGCACGTCTTTTGATCTTCACTTTGCAGGTGCGTGGAGCGTCATCATCTCTGGTCAGAAGAATCCCCTCTCTCTCTCTCGGGTGTTTGGCTCTCGCAGACCCAGGCCGATACCGACGGCTCTGGTGAGATCTCCAAAGATGAGCGCCTGTGGCTGCATCTTAGAGCCCGGAGGGTTTCTTTGTTGCAATCTCCATGGTGCAGAACCTGACATGGGCGGCTCGCCTTTCTAAAAGGTTGGAATTTCCCAAAATGGGTGGTTCTCCTTTTGGTTTCTTTTGTAAGCCACAAAATCTGGTACCCTCAAAAAAGACATCCCCACATGCAGTGTCACAGGTTCAACAGCATGCTGCTGTGCACCGACATCATGAAGACTGTCATGGAAGAGTCATCTCTTGACGCGCAGGAAGGGGCATTGCCGGGTGGCAATGGGGAGACAGACGCACTCAGCGCTTTCATTTGAGGTAACAACCAAGCAAATCAGAATTGTACAAGCGCATTTGGCTGTGGGTCAAAAGTAGGGTAACCCCAAAATGGGTTGCACTGGTAAGTGGAAAGACGAACTAAAACCTGTGGTCCCATTCCTGGTGACTACTTTGACCCGTGCCGTTTTGTGACCTGTCAGCTGCAAAGGCGGAAAAAAAGAAGAAGAAAAAAACAAGATCGGAAGGAGTCGCCGGGTCGTCGAGTCGCCGAGTCGCCGAGTCGAGAGGACTTGGGGGAACTCTTCGAATGGCTGGATGCGGACAAGGCCGGGAGATTCGGAGATTCGGTTTGCAGCTCGCCTTGGGTTTCGCCGCTCTGGCGCTTGAGGTGGGTCCGGAAGCCTCATGGCAAGGAATCAGAGGTGGTTTGGTGGCCATCGCGCAGTCTCGCAAGGGTTTTTGCGGCTGAGGTCAGATGGCTGTGGTTGTCGAAACTGATGGAATCCCATTCTGGTTGGTAGGTGCACCCACCCGTTTTGGTCTATTCTGAGTGGTTGGATTGGTTGATGTTCACTGGGGGCTAACCGATTTGTATTTTGACCCATGGCCAAATGGTCAAACATAGGTACCCGGTAAATGGAAACATGGACCAACACCTGCAGCCCCCTGATAATTTAGTTTGGACCCATGGCAGGACGGCGTGGTGAGCATCGAGGAGTTCCTCCGAGGATTCCGCTGGCTGGTGGCGCGCGCCTCGCGCGCCTCGCTCGCGCTCGCCTCGCTCGCCCTCGCGCGCGCCTCCCGCGGCTCAGGCGACGGTAGATCCCAAGGGCCTGCTGAAGCTGGAGGAGGCAGGTGACAAACTCTGCCATTGGGCAACGGATCTTTAGACTGAACTACTGAACAACTTTTTGATGATTCCCGCACGTTTCCTTCTAACCAGCAACAAGGTGAACAACCTTTTGCTGGGGGATCTACAGCACCCAAGAAAAGATCTGGACCATAGGCGTCCTTTTTAGGTGAGTTTGCCTAGAAATAGATGGGTTCCACTGGTTTGGTTTCATTCCATTTGCAAGGGCCATCTATTTTGCCCAAACACCCATGATCTGGACAGCAAGACAGCGCCCAAGAAACGGGGCCGAGTGAAATACTTGGAAGCCTTCTTCAAATTTTTGGTTGAGGTGCGGGCCTAGGTGATGGAAACTTCATTCGTCTTGCTTTAGAATCTCTTGCTGACTGGCAACTCTTGCCTTTCGTCCAATTTTGTCAAAGGCCTAATGCTAGACCTCAGATTAATCAACGTTTACTAGTATGGTGTCCATTTCTGGTTCTTGTGGGGGAATCAGACCACTAATTCATAAACTGCTTGGTTGATGAACCAGGGGTCATTTTCTGGGGTTCTGTTTGGATGGGTTCGCCTGTTTCAGCTCTGGGATCAGTTTGCCAGGAGCTGGCTGGGGACTTCCATCGGCTCACCAGGCCTTCGACGCACCGAATCGACCGAAAGCTTCGACCGATCGATCCGAGGGTTTCATCTGCGATCACTTGTGGATATTTCGTGCCACAAAAGCTATGGTTTCAACCAGGCTTGCCAGCCACAGAATAAGTACCCGATCGCCCCTTTAAGTACCTCTCACAATCCAAAACCAGGCCTCAACGTTTTGACGTGTCGTGACCTTGCAAGCCATTCTGGGATGGATATCCTCCCGACTCGTTCGGCCTAAGGGCTCAAGCAAAATGCCGCAGGCGAATGGTCGACCATGTGAACCAGTGCTTTGACCAGCTTTTGGAGTCTGTGAATGCGCCTCCCTCAACCCTTGGGCAGGGAGGATTGCCATCGAAGATGGTCTACGGATCTTCCGTTTTGGCTTTCAACCCACTTGCGCTTGACACCTTTGGTTTTGCCACGAACATGCTTCGCTCGATCTTTGTCTCAAAGCTGCGTTGTCGTGCTTTTGCACTTGTAGATAGGACCTAAAGAGGGGGAACCTCGAGCAGTCTGTATGCGCTCTTCTACCATTTAATCTCGTTTTTCTTGAATCCCTGCAATTCTTCCTTGCAAGCTGACGGGTTTCATATCAGTCCCAGTCTCAGGTGCCGCTGAGCAAGATCTCTGCGGCAGGGCGACCAAGTGCGCCAAGTGTGAGGTATCCGTTTGAAAGCAAAGTTTGCTCAGCCTTAATCAGCAGCAACAGCAGCAGCAGAAGTTGTAGTAGTAGTGGTAGCAGCAGCAGCAGCAGCAGTAGTAGTAGTAGTAGAAGTAGTAGTAGTAGTAGTAGAAGAAGAAGAAGTAGTAGTACTAGTAGTAGTAGTGGTAGTAGTGGTAGTAGTAGTAGTAGTAGTAGTAGTAGTAGTAGTAGTAGTAGTAGTAGTAGTAGTAGTAGTAGTAGTAGAAGTAGTAGTAGTAGAAGTAGTAGTAGTTTTGGTAGCAGTCGTCTTAGAAGCTCCAGCAGCAGCAGTAGTCGTGGTAGTGTGTAGTTGTAGTCGTAGTTGTAGTACTAATAGCACAGCAATTGCAGCAGCAGCAGTAGCAGCAGTAGTAGAAGTAGCAGAAGAAGTAGCAGGAGAAGCAGAAGAAGCAGAAGCAGCAGCAACAACTGTCAGGTTGTCAACTGGTGGGAGGGCATGTTTGTGGAGTCGACCATGGACCACGCCGGCTTAGCCTTAAAGAGTGGCGGACGGGTGGACCCGAGATCACGGAGCAAATCCAACGGCTGGACCGGCTCACCACTTCTTTGATGCGCTGCCCGGAGGAGGCGCGTTCCGTGTTCCGCGGCGCGGCGCGTTTTTGTTGTTGTTGGGGAGGACGGACGCCTGCAAGCGTGCTGCAAGCTATATGGCTGTGGCTCAAGAAACCGGCACCAAAATGGAACCCTGGTAAGTGGAAACATTGACCAAAACCTGCGTAACCCCTCCTGTTTGATTGTGAGACACACCCATATGCATGAAACGCCTTGCGCATGGGGGTTGATCAAAAGATCCTTTACATGGGTTGACCACCAGAAAAGATGACTTTTACCACTAAACGGGGCAAGTTACCCACGGTCATTTTGGGGTCAGGAATACTGATCAACCCCCATGTGCTGAGCAGGTCTGAGTCAAGAACACACTTTGTTTCTGCTATTGGAGCTTGCCTCAATGCTGTGGTTGCTGGGCCATGGCAAATGTAGTAAGACCCCAACGGCCCGATGTCCTCCGCTCCTACCGGATGTGTTCGCATGTCAGCTCTGTTTCAGCAGGCGGGCTCCAAAACCGCGCAGCGCGAAATTTGCCAAGGCTTTCTTTGGAGACCCCCCCGCCCCCCTAGCGGCTGGTAGCGCACCAGCACTTTGAGCAATCCGAGCTGTGTAACATGTGTGTTTACTGACCGAGAAAGAGACACGGCCATGTGCCATATCTACCTGCAGCGACGGATGCTGGATTTCTGTCTGGGCGCATGAGGGCATGATGGTTTTTTTTTGTCACAGTATGCTTTCTGAATTCTTTGGGAAACAGTGAGGGGTGTGCAGTGAAGCTGTCCTTTGCCAGATGGAAGGGAAGGTGGAGTGCCGGCCACTGAGATCTGGGGGGTTGAGTACCTATTCTTGACTGCTATTGGGTTGGACCTTTAGGCTTTAACTTTTTGAGAAGTCAAGTTGGGGTTTCCACTAAACCCCCCCAAAAAGTTATTCTCTTTTTGCAGGGGGGGCCTTCCAGCCACGAAGTATCGTTCCGACTGCGGCCATGGCCATGGCGAGCTCAGGCTCCAACCTCGACCTGGTGGAGGGACGCCTCGCCAAGAAGCTGGACCGCCACGAGTTTGCTGAGGGATGCCGTGAGTTTTTGCCGTAGTCGCGGGTGGGGCGAGAAACTGGACGTGCGCGCGCGCGAATGAAGTTTCCAAGACAGAAGGCGGCCAAAGGCATGTATGGAAGCTGAGGACCCGTGGTGTGTTTGAGAAAGCCCGTGCGCGAGCTTGCGTGCCGAGCTCAAGGGAAGAAGTGGAAACCGAACGGCGGGGAGTCGTTGCGCGTCCGCACGTGGGAAAAAGGGAGGTGGCGGAAGCGCACGAGGGGCGGGAGGCGAGCTTCTTGGAGGTGCGACCCATTGTGTCGTGTGCGAGGTTCACCAGGTTGTAATTAAGCCTGACGCCGCAGAATTCCGGCGATTTGACGGAATTCTTTTTTGTTTGTCCGCGCGATCAGAGGCTTTCGTTTTTTGTTTTGTTTTTGTTTGGTTTTCACGTTTGAAGCGGTGCCGAAGGACAAAACATGCTGTGGATGGACGATATCCGTTTGCACCACGAAATGGAACCATGCTTGAAACCATTGTGGGGGAATTGACTCCGAAACCAGGGCTTCCGAACGGTGCGAGAAGCGGATCTCGCCACCAGCGGGCTCCATTTACTTGGTAAGTGGTTAGAAAGTCTAGCGCCTTACCCCACAAAAGCCATGGTCACAAGTCTCTTAAGTGGGGTTACAACCAGCTTACTAACCCAAACAAACTTGACGTTTCCAGCCCCCCTACCCACCCACTTGACGAACCCGATCGCCCCCTGACGTACCCCACGTCGAGCCGTTTCCCGCGTCGACGCCGCCCGATGGCAAAAAACGGTCTCGAGGAGCAGCTCGCAGAGGCGGTGCAGAAGCTGGAGGAGCTGGAGGAGGGGGGTGCTGTAGGTCAAGAAATATGACCCAATGGAATGGCTGAAGGGCTGAGTCTGGCATTTATTTATTTCTTGCATTCTTTCGTGTATTTGCTCATGTCATGTTACCGCATAGTTCACAACTGGGTGTGGCTCAAAAATTAAGCAGGGGGGTTACGCAGGTTTTGGTCCATTTTTCCACTTACCAGGGTTCCATTTTGGTACCGGTTTTTTGCGCCACAGCCAACTCAGAGATGATTGATAGTTTTTTTTTTTTTTTTTTTTAAAACGAAGCAGTGGAACGCTCCTTTTGCTCCCCGGAGACCTCAGACTCTTGATGCATGGCCCAGATAGGCGCAGGGCTTGGTGAAGCTCGACGATGCGCCCGCAGCTGACCTCGACACAGCGGCGGCCTCACCGCCAAAGTCTGCCGTAAATTGGGGTGGAGGGTGGGGGGCTCGGATGTCTAAAGGGAAAAAAATCCCCCTCCCCCCAAAAAAAACGGAAATAAAACAACCAAATACATCCGCACCCTTTCCCAAAAAAAAACCGCACCCTTTCTGAATCGTCTTGGGCGCCAAAGGGCAATTTGTGAATGCGAGCAATGAGTTAGTTGCTAAGATGCTGCAGCTTTGTTGAAATGGCTGCCACTGCGTGAGCTTTCACGCAGGGCATGATGACCGAGTCCATGTCCATGTCAGGGCCGCGGCCCAAGTTGAGACAAGCCAAGTGCATTGCTAAGTTTCGGCGCAAAACCCATGTGTGACTTCAGTCGAGGCTCCCTCAAGGTTGAGATGGTGCTCAAAATGGTGCCTTGCACCTCACCCTTTTGATTTCCTTTTCACCCCACGCCCCACACACCCCCACACACCCACACACAAAAAGGGGGTACCACCAAAGAAGAAGACAGACCCCTTTGTACCGATGCTTTGCACAGGCCTGTTTGGAAACGCCTGGCGACGGGATTGGCCTCGGACGTGGCGGAAGAGGACCCGACAGCCACTGCCTCTTTGCGTTGAACCCAGTTCGCGATTCAAGGCTTTGAGGGGCAACATGCCACCACTTTGGAAAGTTGTATAAAGAGATTCTGTTGACAACAGATGTTGCGGCAGTACAAAGTCAAGGGCTAATGACTCGTTCAATGTGTCGCGAGGCGCTGTATAGGAACTTGGTTGTGTCTATTTAGAGCCACTCAACCTCCTGTT